AGATCATCACTAAACCAGTTGAACAAAAATAGGAATCAAGGACAATGAACGAAGAACTTTTCAGAGGAATAGATTGCTAGAAATTGGATGAATACCTTCAATGGTGAGAATGCAAAGGTGACAATAGCATTTGAACCAAAGTTAGTAAGCATTGCAAGAGTGATGCCTTTTCCTCTTGTATGAATTGGGAAAATCTCTGAGACCATTAGCCAACTGATAGGCCCAAATAATATCTGAAATGATTTTTTAATAACAAACACTTTATCAGATTCCAACTTCACCTTGAGCTTACTAACCGAAAACAAAAACTCAGTCAATTATTTCTTCTTCTACATTTTCCAATTCCTTTTCCTTCGAAAAATATTATCTAAGTCAAAATACGTTTATAGCATAGGGATGTAGCTATTTATGGAGAAAATTGAGTAATTAACACCAGCAACCAGAAGACATAATTCTCGCCTGGTAGCAACCAACATAGAGAAGCAGAGCAGCAACAGCAAGGGGGAGTGTTGATGTTTATGCACTGGAGTTTAACTAAGAAAAGAAAAAAGGAGCCGAGTTGAATGAAGAAGGATATGTTTTCTGCATTGCCAAAATACGTTTCCATTACAGCTAATAAAGCAAAGTTTTACATTGTCATATACCTACTTTGCAGACATATAATAATCTTAAATTAATCTAAAGCCACACACTTAATATCAACTAACAACTACTACATCAGAACATCCCTTACAATCTGGAATGCATATTGATAATCCGTAAATTATACAGTTTTTATTTAATCTTTTTGTCGGATTTCAGGTACTTTCTAGTACATTTTTACCTGAATTGGTGCGTAATTCTCTACTTTTTGTGTTTCAGGTTAAAATGGACTCTTTTAGTGAATAAAGGACAAAATTGACAAGTTTTGACTCAGAATGAAGGATTTCAGAAGTAGGAGAGTTCCGAGTAGGATATTGCACGAGGAGCTTGTTTCCAATGTGGAGAGTCGAAAATCGAAGAATCGGACGAAGAGACAAGCAGAGTGGCAGTTCTGTAAATTTCAGAACTCTTGAAGAAGCTTCGCCCCGGCGAAGAAATTGTCTTCGCCGCGGCGAAATTGGGAGAGTCGAATGTAAATTTTTCATTCTTCGCCGCGGCGACAGTTTAAAGTTTCAGTTTTGTAAACGCACAGTTTCGTGTGTGCGTGTTTTTGACTGGGTTTTTAGGACTAGGTATAAAAGAAAAACTTGAACTTTTTAGAAGGGCCGGATCTGTTAGGTTAGCCGTCTTTTTACAATTTCCTTAGAGAGAAAAAGCTGGATTTTTTCGGATTGTGAGAGAAGAAGTTCAGATTTTGACTGGAATAATTATCTTTTGGGGAGTTTTCTATTCTTTCATCTTTATTTCATTATGTTTATCTGTTTACTTGTATTTTCCGTTTTTATTCTGTTAAATTAGCTTGAACTAATCTTCTATGGGTAGGGTTTTGATTGTAGTTTGGATTTGAAATGGGTTGAGTTTATGTTATGCTATTTTCATGTGGTCAGGCTATGGTTGTGTTTTACTCTGAAATTAAATGTTGTATGTGATGAACATGATGGATTGAGAAATAATTCATGTTAAGCTTCATGGGTAATAACCATTATAGTATTGGATGCTAGAGATAGATTCAAGAATTATGAAATCAATTTAGGATTCTTGTGCTTCATGATTTAGAGTTATTAACCTTCAATTGTTGGGTGCGAATGTTAATAAGGATAAATAGGAAAACAAGCCGAGAGGGAGTATTATCATAGTAGTGAACCCGATTTACAACCATTGCACGTAAATGTGAAAATGTGTAACTTTAGGTATAACCCATAAATAATCCAAACGAAGTCAAAACCCTACCGTTTTAATTACATTGAATCTCTGAATTCCATTTTTTTTTTTAGAATTAATGTTACTGTTAGATTTTATTTTTGTTTTTCTTTAAATTACAAATTGCTCCCACAAATCCAAGATTTTCGATTACTTCAACTTGTTAACACCATAGGAAACTTAGTGCTTTGCTACCAGTCCTCGTGGGAACGATATCCTACCCATCACTCTATTACTTGAGCGACTAGTGCACTTGCTAGTTTTTGCATGTTGTAAGAATCACGCATCACTACACACTTTTACAAAATGAGTTAAAAACTCTAGGTATCAAATAGACCCCTGGCAGACTTCAGTTCAGGTTTTGCCGCCAACACACATTCAAAAACTTTAACTAAACTGCTGCATTTCCAGCCAAGTGTCAATGTTCAACACCTCCTTGTGTTGGTTGGAAACACCAAGTCTGAATCTGAATTCTTCAAACTTGGCTTTGGAGACAGCTTTGGTCATAATGTCAGCCACTTGCGATTCACTCCTACAATGCACCAGTTTCACTTCACCATTTTGCTCAGCCTCTCTCACTGCATGGAACTTTATTTTTATGTGCTTTGTACGTCCATGTTGCACAGGATTCTTGGCCATAGCTACTGCGGATTGATTGTCACACATGATGGCAGTAGCTTGATTCACAGCTGCAATAGCAGATATATACTCTGCTTCAACTGTGGATTGAGCCACGGTTTCCTGCTTTTTGGAAAGCCAGTAGATAACACCATGATTCAGGAAAAATGAAAATCCTGAAGTGCTCCTCGTATCATCTGTCGAACCAGCCTAATCGCTATTCGAATAACCAACTAAACTAAAGTCTTCTGATCTCTTGAACCACACCCCATAATCAGTGCTTCCTTTTAGATACCTCAGCACCCTTTTTGTTGTTTTGAAGTGTGTTTCAGTCGGTTCACTCATAAACCTGGACAGCAAACTGGTTGCGTACATCAAATCTGGCCTAGTTGCTGTCAAATACAACAGAAACCCTATTAAACTCCTGTACAATCCTTCATCAATCTGCTCACCATCCTCATCCTTTGACAACTTTAAGTTTGGAACCAAAGACAGATTTACTGGTTTGCAGTTTTCCATGCATAATTTTTTCAAAACTTCACTTGCATACCTTTTTTGATTCACAAAAATCCCATCCACATGTTGATCAATCTCCATTCCAAGAAAGTAAGACATTCCACCCAAGTCAGTCATTTCAAACTCACTTTGCATGGATTTCTTGAATTCATCCACTTGAGTTTGATTGCTTCCAATTACTAGAAGATCATCCACATATAGTGAAATGATCATCAAGTCATCTTCAGCTTCTCTAATTTATAGAGTGTATTCATTTGGACTCCTAACAAAATCCAAGTTCAGCAGGTGGTCATTAATCCTGCTGTACCAAGCCCTTGGAGCCTGTTTTAGGCCATACAGAGCCTTCCTCAGCAAATAAACCTTTCCCTATTCTCCTTGGATCACATACCCTTCAAGTTGTTCAATGTATATTTCTTCATTTAACCAGCCATTCAAGAAGGCAGATTTTACATCCATTTGGTACACCTTCCAGGAGAATTGAGCAGCCACTGCAAGTAGTAACCTGATGGTGTCATGCCGGGCAACAGGAGCAAAAGTTTCCAAGAAATCCACTCCAAACTGCTAACCAAATCCCTTGACTACAAGCCTGGCCTTATGCTTCAGAATTGACCCATCCGGATTCAGCTTTTTCATGAAAATCCATTTCACCTGAATAACCTTCCTGTTTTCTAGTCTGTCCACCAGCTTCCAGGTTTGGTTTTTCTCAATCATGGCAAGCACCGCCTTCATGGCACTCCTCCAGGATTCTGATTGTGCAGCCTCTAAATAACTTTTAGGTTCCATTTGTGCTAAGTTGCACCTGTCATACACATCAGCTAGTATTCTAGTTCCCCTAACAGCAACTTCTTCTTGTGATTCCTCCCCTGAATCTTCTTCAATTTGATCAGGTTAAACCTCACTCAGTTGAGGTTGTGTATCTACATCAGCTCTACCCTTTTCCAAGTTCCAGATTCTTCTCTCATCAACCTTGATATCCCGGGACACCACTACTTTCCTAGAGTCAGGAATATAAATCTTGTAGGCCTTGGATTGGCTGCTGTAGCCAATAAATATTCCAGTCATAGCCTTATCCTCCAGCTTTGTCCACTTTGCAGATGGCACTAGGACGTAGCAAAGGCTTCCAAAAATCTTCAGTTCATCCACTGCTGGTCTGACTCCAGTCCAAGCTTCAAAAGGTGTTTGATTTTTCAAGGCTTTGGTGGGAATTCTGTTGAGTAGGTAGACACTTGTGTTTGCTGCTTCTGCCCAAAATGGTTTGGGAAGTTCTTTTTCAGCCATTAAGCATCTGCCATTTCCATGACTATCCTGTTTCTCCTCTCACAAACTCCATTCTGTTGTGGAGTGTATGGGCTGCTGAATTCATGTCTTATTCCAGTTTCATTGCATATTTTTTCAAACTCTTGAGAAGTGTATTCAATGCCATTATCACTTCTCAAGGTTTTGATGGATTTTTCTGTCAAATTTCCTACTTCTAGTTTGAATTTTCTGAATGTTCCAGCCACCTCATTTTTCTGTCTTAGGAAGTAAATCCATCCCATCCTAGACCAATCATCTATGAACAATACAAAGTACTTGCTCTCATTGAGTGATAAGGTTTGCATGGGGCCACATACATCCAAGTGAACAAGCTGGAGTTTTTTAGAGGCTCTCCAAGCTTGATTCACTGGGAATGGTCTTACCTAGTTGACAAACTTTGCACACACCTCTCGGCTGCTCAACAATAAGCAGATTCTAGACTAGATTTTTAGACTGCATTTCACTAAAATTTCTATAGTGTACATGGCATAATCTCTTATGCTACATTTCACTTTCATCCTCTCTAGTATTGCAAGCTTTGTGTGGTGTGACTCTCCACATAATAGGAAAGATTTTCCCTATCATTTTCACCCTCATAATTTCATTTCCCTCACTATCTTGAATAATGCAGGATTGGTTTTGAAAATGCAATGCATAATCCTTTTCCAACATTTGTCCCACACTCAAAAGGCTTTGACTTATGTTAAGGGCATAAAGTACATTTGAGATTAGTTTTGTACCTCTTTGGGTTTGAATTGCAACATCTCCCTTGCCTCTTGCTTCCATTCTCCATTCCCAACTTTAATCTTTGACCGATGAGAGTGATCTATATTCACAAAGCAGCTCAAGTCTGGTGTCATATGATGTGTGCACCCACTGTCAATTAGCGATGTATCATCACAGGTTTGGACCACAAATAGTTGTTTTGTCTCCTGCACTGGCTGTTGTTCATCAGCTGTTTGAGCTTGCTGTTGGGACTGCTCTCCCTTTTTTTTGCACACTCTTTCAACATGGCCAAATTGCTTACAAGCCCTACACTGTATACCAGGTTTGAACCAGTATTTGTGCTCTGCATGTCCCTTCCTTTTGCAATGAGAACAGGCCAGAAAACTCTTTATCCCACAAGTTTTGTTCCACTAGTTATTAGCCATTTCTTTTCCTCTTTTTTCTCCAGCAAACTTCCTGCAGTTCCCTTGTACAGTCTTGCCCTTATAGGTTGCTAACATTGCCCCTTCATTTACATCCTCTAGTCTTAGGAGCGTTCTTTTCTCTTGCGCCTGCAGAGCATGGACCAGCTCAGTCAATGTGATCTGAGTCAGGTCCTTTGAGTCCTCCAAGGATGAGATCTTGGCTTCAAACTTTCCGGCAAGCTTACCACTACCTTCTCCACTATTCTGTTGTCCAACATTTCCACCCCAAGTAATCTGATCTTGTTGACAATGTTCATCAACTTATCAACATATTCTTTTACTTTCTCAGCCTCTTGCATCCTTAAGGTTTCGAACTCCCTTCTCAAATTCAAAACCTGCATATTTCTTGTAGTGTCACTTCCCATGAACTCTTTAAACTTGTCCCATGATTCCTTGGCTGTTTTGCATGCCATAATCCTTGTGAAAACAAGGTCTGTGACAGCTGAGTGGATGTGGGACAAGGCTCTTGGAGCCTTTAATGCTTCCTCTTCATGCATTCGAATTTGGTTAAGAGTGGGATTTGGTCCCAGCTGAGGGGGTTGTCTCTCTTCCTCTACATACTGCTAGAGTCCTTGGCCCCTTAGGTAAGCCTTCATTTTGACTGACCAAATATGGTAATGTTGCCCGTTGAACACAGGAGGTAGAAGGGAAGTTGTTGGAGTAGTTATTTGTTCAAAAAGAAACCAGGTCTGATGCAAGGCAGTTTCTCGGAGAGTTGGATGAGTTGTTTTGGAGAAGAAATGTTCAGTTTTTTTGGTTGGAATCAACGAGGCTCTGATACCATGTTGATGTTTATGCACTAGAGTTTAACTAAGAAAAGAAAAAAGAAGCTGAACTAAATGAAGAAGGATGTGTTTTCTGCACTGCCAAAATACTTTTCCATTACAGCAAATAAAGCAAAGTTTTACATTGTCATATACCTACTTTGCAGACATATAATAATCTTAAATTAATCTAAAGCCACACACTTAATATCAACTAACAACTACTACATCAGAAAATCCCTTACAATCTGGAATGCATATCACACTTTTACAAAATGAGTTAAAAACTGCAGCATATCAAATAGACCCCTGGCAGACTTCAGTTCAGGTTTTGCCGCCAACACACATTCAAAAACTTTAACTAAACTGCTGCATTTCCAGCCAAGTGTCAATGTTCAACAGGGAGACCTCCAAGTACTTTGTAATATGCAGATAGCAAAACTAAGGAAAGCGCCTGTAGTGTAGTCAAACAAATAATTCAGAAAAACATACCATTATTTTCTCCACCAACTAAAGGCATCTACCACTGAAATAGTGGATCCAGTTCTTCAGGAAAAAGAAAAAGGACAGACAAGCATGAGAAGTAACAATATTCGAGAGTACTTGATTTCGATGTTTGGAATCAGAGTCACTTGTTCTTCAGAGTTTCCAACTGAAAGGACGAACATGGATGATTTTACAGCCCAGCTGCATTTTATCAACAACAAACTTCTTCAAACTCTAAGACATGGTGAGAGGCTACTGCAACTGCATGAGTAATTTTCCTTTGTTTACAATCAAACTAGCGGCAAAATTGTTTCCTCTCCACAAAATCTTTTTTTTTTTTTATTTTTTCTGTGAAGGCTGCAGCTCTAAGATCGGTTTACGTTTGGATGCTTTTCAATTTCATTTTCGTGCTTTTCTCAAAATGAAATGAGTTCATCTACAATAATGGCTTCCAGGGAGCCAAATTATTCTGGGTGAATTCTCAGAAATCCATCCCAATGGTCTATTGCAGCTAACCAACACTTCTGGGAGGCAAACTGGTCAGCTTTTATCCATCCCCATTCAAATTCAACACATCTTCACCTGAAACTCTTTCCTTTTCCACGAATTTTGTCTTTGCCAATGTTCCACAATCATTTAATATTGGTGGCCATGACATGGCTTTTGTCATCTCACCGTCTATGAACTTTACTGGCGGTGATGCGGGTCGTTATTTGGGACTCTTCAATCTTACAAACATGGCCAGCCTACAAACACATCTTAGCGATCGAGTTTGATACTGTACAAAGCCGTACAGCTTATGAGATAGATAATAACCATGGGGAATTGATGTGAACGGCTTGGTTTCGAATGATTCTGCTACAGAACTTATTATTCGGATGAAGAAGGGCGGAACAAAAGCTTGGAGCTCATGAGTGGGATATCCAATACAGGTTTTGTGAAACCCCGTTTTTAACCTATACATATTACAATTCTGTGTGATTTTATTTTATGGAAGGGGATTTCTGTTAGTTTTAAAAGTTTTATTGGGAATGAAAATGCAAGAAAAGGAAGCTGTGGGGTTGCATGTAACAAGGGGCAAAATCTGGAGGTTTAATTCAAAGAAAAGCTGATGTGGTTGGGGTTTAGCGGATTACTGTAATCTAGGGGACGAGAAAATAAATTTAGAAAGATTAAAAATATAAAAAAGAAAGAGAAGGGCTGATTTTGGCCCAAAAATGAAGAAGAAGAAAGATGAGAGAAGAAAAACCGAGAGAAGAAAAGAAAAAGAGAAGGAGAGAGAAGAGAGAAGAAGAGTGATAGAGTGAGAGAGGAAGAGAAGAAAAGAAGAAGAAGGAAGAAGGGAAAAACAAAAAAATAGAGAGGTGGTTTGCTTTGTCTTTTAGTAAGCATGATGTGATTGGATCGATGGATCTCTTCCCCCTTTATAAATTAGACCTGGCTTAGATTAATTCTTGTCTTTTGGGCGTAGGTGTGGAGGAAGGGGAATCTTGAGGTTGTCTTTGCACTTTCGGCTTAGCCTCAAAATGGTGAGGACCAGCCAAAAACTCTTTAAAAACTCAATTCCTGTTTGCATGTAAAGTGTTGATTTCTATTATAGTGTTTGACCAAATTTTGGTGTGAATCTTGTTAAATCTGCCTTGCATGTGTCGGCTGAGCTGACTTTAAAGTGCTGCAATCCGTTTCGATTCTAGCCACCATGCTTGATGAAATCTGGAAATTTTGGTGAGTGGAAAACGCATTAAATCCTTTTCCAAAGTTTGCATTTTTCAAGTTGCATGTTACTTGATGTTTATTGTTTCAAGCATTTAAAAGTTATGTTTAAATTGATTATTTGGAATATTATTGTACCATAGAGATGAGTTTTGGGATGTTGTTGATTGAAGAGTAGATGGAGAAAGGTTATAAATAGGCAGAATTAGAAATGTGAACTGGCATGCATGTGTGCATTTTATGGATATACATAATGTTGTGAATAGAAAAGAAATATGGGAAATGTATGTTGGATATGGTGGCTAACTATTGTGGTTAACTGAAATTGGAGGTTTAATGCAATAGTTTTATATGGGTAGAGCATATATGTTGGTCCTAAGAAACCAAGAATTATAAAGTGTTTTGGTTATAAAGTTATGCTGTGAAATTCTGACAGCCTAAACTTCTGAAAATTTTATATGTTTTGGGTTTGTAAATGAAGCTAAATTTCATATTTTGTTTTAGACTTATTAGAGATTGATTGAAATTGATTTCACCCCAAATTCGAAGTATGGATTTTTTAATAAATTTTGAATTCTGCTATGAAATTCTGGAATTTCATGTTTTCTGTAGAGCATGCATTTTTCAGAACTGAAATATGAACTTATACTTATCCAAATTGAGTGATTTAAATTCTGGTGAATCCTATATGTGCCTAGTTTAGTTCTGGAGAGTTTCATGAGGTTTAGATTAAGGGCTGAATTGTTATGAATTTACAAGTTAGTAACCTCAATTCTGGAAACAGTTGGAGATTTAAATGAGTTGAAAGAAAATGTGTTTTAAATAGTTATTGATTCTGAAATGACTTGAAAATATTATTGGATCAACATATATTTGTCTTGAATGCCCATTGAAATTATAGCTTGATTTGTGAGTGGATAAACCAAATCTTCTTCCAAATCCTTAATCCATGCTTGCATGTTAACCTGTGATTTAATTTTAATGTTTTGATGAAGTTTGGTAATAGAATTAGGTTCATGCTTATGAATCAAATGTTGCTGTTGAGAGTAGAGAATTGGTTGAATTGTATACGGGTTGAGGTTCATGATGTTGGTAAATGGTTTCTTGGTAAAAAAAAAAGAGAAGGGGTGCATTCGTCAGTTTTGAAAGTAAGTTTTAAAACTTGCATTCTACCCCCATTTTGCATGGAATTCATACGTTTTGGCATGATTGCTTTTATATGAAATGTGGTTAGCGTCGACATATGCTATGGTAATGTGATGTTGAAAGTAATTTTTAATCTGGGTTAAACTGTCAGTTTTAAAACATGGTGGAATTTCAATTTCACCCTGGATGTGATTTTTGAATTATGTCATATATGCATGATTTATAAGCACATATGTGGTATGTTCTGACTTAATGTGTACTTGAGATTAACATGAGATGCATGATTAATGAGAGTTTAGTGATTTTGATAAATATACTAAATAGAAATGAAAAGGGTTTTTGTCAGTTTTGAGGCATGTTCATAAATCTATATTTTCCCACCTTGGGCATAAATATCATATTTTTCAAGCAAACTATGCATTTTTCACGAAGAAAAGATTTTAGACTATATAGAAGAATATAAGTGGTTTTCAAACCACCCTACGAAGTACCCATCCCCCAGAGATACAGATTTTTGGCTCTGCCCGAGCGATACAGGATTCCGCCGGGTATGACAGTTTCAGATTTGTCTCTGCGCATGCGTATAATAGATTTTATTGGCTCTGCCTGAGCGTTGAGTGGTCCGCCAGGTATGACAGATTTTTTTTCTGCCTGGGCGTTGAGTGGTCCGCCGGTATTACAAATTTTATTGGCTCTGCTTGGGCGTGAGTGGTGCCAGGTATGACAGATTTTATTGGCTCTGCCGGGCGTTGAGTGGTCTGCCAGGTATGACAGAGTATTTTTGGCTCTGCCTGGGCGTTGAGTGGTCCGCCAGGTATGACAGATTTATTGGTCTGCTTGGGCGTTGAGTGGTCCGCCAGGTATGACAGTTTCAGTAGCTCTGCTGCAAGATGATAGATCTTGCCGGGTATGAAGGTACCTCCCTTGCTGCTGCGTGCGGGAAGCCCACCAGGTAAGACAGATTTCGAGGGTACTAGTTGCGGAGAGTTTTCTATTATTAACATAATAATCAGTTTTAGAATGTTCAAAATCACATTAAATTTTAGTATCAGCTAGAGTGATAGTCTAATATGGTTTTCAGATATTTATTAGAGAGCTTGTAGTATAGCCATAGTTTCGAAATAGATATAACTATAATTCAATTTTCAGTATCAGTAAAAGCTACAGTATCAATTTAAAGTTCAGTTACGCATAAAGTTTAGTATTCCAAAATCAGTATCAGTGCATAGTTTCAGAAAAATCAGTTTTCAATTTATATCATCACAGCAGTTATAAATTTAGTTACCAGATTTTGTTTTGTGAATCGTGAGTGTATGAATGATGGTTTGGATGTTTGCAGATGACTAGTAGAGTTATTATTTTCATAATCATATGCATTCTTGAGTGAT